CGGCGGGCTGGCGAGGCGCAGGGCTGAACCCGAGCGGGCGCCTCTGGCGGCTCGGGGCCGGGGCGGGCTTTTAGTGGGCCGCTCCAACAATACGGGCCTGGCGCGGAGAAAGGGGCTCGGCTGCAATTGGTACTGGATTTGAATAACGCCACGGGGCCATCAATGGTCATTGTGTCGGCGGGTAATGAATCTCCGCTGTCTCTCGGGCTGGCCAGGCAGCTGCAACCTGCGCTCAGGCAGCTCTTAAAGACATAGTGTGCCCCTCCCCGGGGCGCCCCCCTCTGCACCGGCCGGACCCCTCGCCCTCCAACCCCCACCCTGCAGCCTCAACTCCCTGTGCCCCGCCTGCTGTCGGGGCCTGAGCGGGTTGCCCATCATCCCCTCCCTCCCCCTGGACCAGGCACCGCATCCCTGCCCTGCACTCCCATGAACCTGACTCAGCCCCTGGCCTTGGCGGAACTCCCCAAGAGTTCAGGGAACCCCAGAGTCTTTTAAGGGCTAGCCCTGGCCTCCTTGTACATCTCAGCCTGAGGCCTCTGGAGCCCTCCTCCTTTAGGCTCCTGCCCCGGGCCCCCGTCTAGCTGGAGAGTGAGGGGGAACAGTCCGGAGGTCAGAGGGTCACCCCCTGAAAAGGCTCTGCTGAAGAAGGAGGAGGAGGGATGCATCCCCACCCCCAAGCTGAAGATGCCATCTCCAGGGACTACACCCGACCAGGGCTTGGAGATGCTGGCTCCCAGGACCAAGGACAGGCTCGATTCCCAGCCTCCTGGACACCTCAGCTCTAGCAGGAGTGGGGAGGGGCGGGGAGGGAGGGGCGAGGGATCTGTTACTGCTTGTCTGGTCATTGTCTCTTCCCCTGGCCAGCCTGGTGCAGGAGGGCAGAGCTCTGTCTAGGCCTGGCAGGGAAGCTTCCCAGCCCGCCCTCAGAGGCACCCCCACTTTCTCACCTCAGGATGCAGCCTGTCTTTCCCAGTGAGGAGGTGCCTCCATCTACCCTAGGCCTCCGGGGCCCCGAAGCACCCCTCTCCAGTCGTCATCCATCATCGGGCCACCTCGCTCAGTGCTCCCCCCCACCCCGCCATGATTATGGTTTTGTTTGTCTCACTGGGATGGAAAGTGGGGCCCACTGATTTTTGTGTCCCCAGAGCTTAGGACAGTGCCCAGCCCTTAGTGAGTCATTGGCTATCCCTCGGTGACTTAAAGCGAACCACATAAACTTCTTGGGGTTTCTTACAAAAGTTGAAAAAAGATGGCTCCTGGAAAGGAAAATTTGAATCGAGTTCTACAGCCAAGGGGCCTGCCCCACCCGCTCCCAGCTCCCGGGACCACACCACCTGCCAATCATATATGGCCACAGAGCCCATGCAGTGCCCTCCACGCCAAGCCCTGGTGGCCTCTGGACTCCCCTGCAAATAGGTTTGCCCTGCCCATTTTACTGATGAAGAAACTGAGATTGGCTGACAGGTGAGGCAGTGACAGCCTGAACCAGGGCTGTGGCACTCGGTTTTCCTGGCCGAGGTGACACGTGTGAGCGTGTGTCAACACCACGGTCTCCTCACACGCTCCAGTCCTGGCCTGGCAGGAACGCGAGCTGACCCAGGCTGTGGGCGGCGGGTGCAATCTCTGCAGACAGGTGAACCTTTGGGGAGGAGGGCTTTTGCATCTCTAGGATGTGTGCAGGTGACCAGTGCTCAGCAGAGCACTGGGGACCGAGAAGCCAGAAGCACCTCACGCAGGTCAGTGAGCCCACAGGCTAGGATAAGCCAACAAGCCAGGATGCCGGCTGTGCGCTCCCTGGGCACTCTATCCCGGGGGTGGGCACGCCTCGCAGGAGGGCAGTGTGGGAGCAGGGATCGAGGTGGAGGTGGGTGGGCACAGAGGCAGCATTTCCAGGCAGAGGAAACACGTTCCAACGCTAATAAGCAAAACAAAAAATCAACAAGGCAAAATGGGATGCGTTCTGGAAGGAAAGAAATTGGCTGGTGAGAGAGGAAGTGCCTGAGAAAGCAAGGCTGACCCACCTGACCTCGCTGTGGGGCTGGGGAGGATTTGGGATTTTATCCTAAACTCAGTGGGCATGCTGAGAGGTCTTAACAAGTTCAGATTTACATTTTTAAAGATTGGCTGGGGCTGGAGGTTAGAAAGAAGGGAGCAAGCTGGTAGAGACCAGCTGGGCTCCTGCTGGTTTGCAGGTAAGACCAGGTGGTGGCCTGGCTCAGGGTCCAGAACTGTGTTCTTTTTTTTTTCTTTTTTAAGTTTATTTATACAAGAATTGGGGTACAGGCCAGAGGTGCAAGGAGGTGAGAGGATGCACCAGAGACAGAGTAGGGAGCAAAACAGGCGGATGGACTGAAATACACTGCTGAGGGGAGCAGCAGGGAGACAGGAGAGGTCTGCTGCACCCTGTGGGTCACTCCCTGGACCGGAGATCAAACTCAGGCTGCAGTGGCTGCAGTTAACTTCACAGAGCTGCGCTTTAACCCTTGCGTCACCATGGAGGCCCCAGAGTGTGTTCTGCAGCCAGCCCTCAGGCAGGTCGCTGGGTGGTGAGTCACTTCCCCAGCCCCTGAGGTGGCCTCTGTGGCTGCCTGAGGCCAGGGGAGGGAAGAGAAAGATGAGCAGTCTGATCCTGCCTCTCCAGAAGGGTCACCCAGTGGACAAGTGGGCAGACAGGTGGACAGACACACGTAGCCAGCCCCAGCCCCTCCGGAGGGGCAGAGCACAGCCAAGCGCTTTGAGCCAGCTACTAGCAGCGCCCTCTAGGATCATAGAAGACAGCGATTTGAGCCAACAGGGAAGATGTGGAGAAATTTCTGGACGAGGCAGCACTGACTTGGGCTTCGGGGCAAGTGAATGATGACGGACAGGACCTCCTCCGGGAGACTCCTGCCTCCCGCCCACGTGACAGTGTTGGGGGGACTCCAACACCCCGCCCTGGTTTTATCATTCTTTTCCACACGTGCACACAGCCCCTCTGGGCTCGAGCTCGCACTGCCTGTTCTGGCCCTGACTCTCCCTCACTAAAAGCAAGTCTCAGGAAGAAGACCCCCGCCCCCATAAACCATGGCCTTCCTCCCAGGCCTGGCGTTTGTGCAAACACTGCGGCCGTAAACAGCTGCATAGTGAATGCACATGAGCTTTAGCAGAGTGATAGTTAAAGGACATGATGAAAGTGACAGGAACCAATAGCTGGCTGTGAGTGCCACGATGTAGTGGGCAGCTGAGTGCTAGGTGTGGAACTGGAGGCATCACGGGGAGGGGGGTGGAGGGGGAGCGCCCTGAGGGGTTGGCAGGGATGTCCTCACACTGCCGCCTTGATTGTGCGCCTCACTGCAGAGCCCAGCGCCTGGGGGTGGCGCACAGGTCAGGCACAAGCCACAGTGCAGCTCGGCCAGGCTGGGTCCTCGAGAGTGCTCCCAGCGCTCCCAGCCAGGGGTGGACAAGGGTCCTACTGCTCCCCAGTGCGTGCGCCTCCCAGGCCAGGCCCACTCCCCCTCCAGATGCTGCCTCCTGTGCCACCCTGCCCCCGAGCCTCTGGAAGGGGCCTGTGTCTTGTCCGGTCATTGGCTAAACGGCCTGCCTGCAGGTGTGTGTTGACAACCTGGCGTGTTCCCAGTTACAAAGCCAGACCGTGGCCCCCACTCCAAAGGGATCCTCAGGCCCCTCTGTCCTGCACGGAAAGACTCTGTTAGCACAAGATGTTCCACTCCATGAGATAGGAAGGTGGGGCAGGGAAGCTTCCAGAGAAAAGCAGCCACCTCACCCACCTGGGGAGCGGGCCCTCACTCCGTGGAAGCCTCTACTCCTGCGTGTCTCCCCTTAGACCACAAACCCTGTTCATCACTGTAGGCCCAGCGCTGGCCCTGGGAAGGAGCTGACCTCTGGAACGCCGGGGACAGGCGGACAGCAAGCCCTGGGCCCTGCACACAGCGCTGTCACAGTGTCCGCTGCTGGGGGTCTACAGTGTGCCCAGCGGTCAGAAGTGCCAGCCCTCCCCATTGCACAGGCCGGGAGCCCGCTGCCAGAGAGAGGAAGCCGCCCTCGAGCACAGGCTTCTTCTGGGCAGGTGTCAGACCCAGCTCTCAAACCAGCCCACGCGCTGGGCCACACGTGGCTGCCGGCTACCCCCCACCCAGGGCAGAGGCTCCCCCCCCCGCCCCAGTGAGGTTGGAGCTGGGAAATAAGACTTGGGGCCGGACAGATGGTCTGGTTCTAGATAGGTGAATCTAGGGAGGGGGAGTGGGGTGAATGGGGAGGCTGAAAATGTTCCAGAATTGACTGGTCAAACCTCACAGCTCTGTGAGTAGACTCCAAACCTGCAGTTGTCCGGAAGGGGCGAATTGTGCACGGTGTGGGCTAGTATCTCAGAAGGGTTGGGGGCGCAAGGCTTCTCCCCCGCCACCTGCCTGTCAGGTTGTGCCTCTTCCGGTCTCCCAGCCTCAGCCCCTAACCATAAAATGGCAAAGGGATGTCTCCTGGAGCAGGATTAAGTGAGATAATACATGTCCCTATCCCGGTATGCCATGGCGGAGGCCTGGAGAAGGAAGGGAAAGGCCCAGAATGCAGGGTGGGGATGGGCAGCCACAGGTGAGGGCTCTCTGCACCCCATCACTGCTTTCAGCATTCTATGGACTGGATGGGGTCTGCCCTACCTGCCCCCATCACTCCGTGTACCCCCAGCCCCAGCCACCTTCTGTTCCATCTCCCACCCTCTCTCGGGTTCTGAGGCCCAGTATCCCCACTGCTCAGGAGCAGAC